CTCATCTGTCGTCAGAGGACATCAGTCCGCGCGCGCCTCCTCAAATTCCGGGACTAGACCTGCCGAAGGCCGAGGAAAGCGACGAGGGACACTGGTTCAGCGTTAAGCCGGGCTCCTCAAATCAGGCCGCGCAAGCTGCAGCAGCAGCCGCCGTGAACGCCAAAGCAGGCGGACACTTTGCAGATGCAGAAGAGGGCAGAAAGACGCCAACAAGTCCCCTGAGGCAAGACGTTCCTCTTGCTGCTGCCACACAATCGCTGAGCGCCCTGAGCGTGGGAGGCGGAGGAGCAGATGAGGATGGTGTGAACGGTAAGCGCACCGATGTGCCCAAGACGAGCGGCAGGCTTGCGCTGATTTTGTTGACTCGTTGCTACAGATTTCCAGGAGTACCAGCGAAGGATAGGTGCCAACAATGGCGGCAATGGTAGGTCTGCAGCATCTTCAGTGTATGGTGACATGAGGCGGCGCGGGTCTTTCGAATCCGATGCCCCTTCAGTAGCCAACTCTATGTTCACTCTGTCAGCGCCCTCAAACAACGGTCAGCTGGGTCCGCGGATGTACAGCAGCGGGGCGAGCGGTATGGGACCACAAGGGGCTGGCCAGCATCCTGGATATTTTGGCTCCGTCAACATGCCGCCTATGGGTGGCTATGGGCCGTATCAACAGCGCATGCGAACCACCTCGAGCGCCACGCAAGCCGCGCAGGCTGCCTACGCACCCAGCTACGCAGATAGCAATCTGGAGTGGAGGAAGAGTGTCGAGTCCACCCGTGCTCCTAGCATTGTTCAAGGAATGACTCCTGCTGGTCAAGGTCGTTTCGAGGCCAGGAGCATGTCAGCTGGCCAGTCTATTCGACCGGGCATTCCTACTGCCTTGTCCTCTCCTCACGGCAGTATCGGCAGCGCTGCTGTAAATCACCCGCCTGTACCCAGTCGCCGAGGGCCGCTGGTGTATCCCGCTTTGCTGTCACGCGTCGCGGAAGCCTTCAAGTCTCGAGTCACCCTTTCGGAAAGGACAAAGGACGGATTGTCGTACACGGATGCATTCGATGGCAGAGAAGCGGTGGACAAGATAGCTTACATCATCAAGACCACGGACCGTAATCTTGCGCTGCTCTTGGGAAGAGCGCTGGACGCTCAAAAGTTCTTCCACGACGTTACCTACGACCATAGGCTCAGGGATAGTCCCAACGAGCTGTATCAATTCCGCGTTCGACTTACGAGCCCTTTCGGCAGCGAGGACGACGTCTTTGAGGATGCAAACGACGGCCAAGCGCATGGAGAAGCTGGCTCACGCCTTTCTGTGCCTCTTAACGACCAGAACGGAAGCAGAGCACCCACGAGGGACAGCTCAGCCGCTTCGCTCACATTGGGTGGCTCAAGCGCTCAAAGTGTCACGGAAAGCAACGTGGCGTCCACGCCGGCCACATCTACGCGCGGTGCGGGCACGCAGAGTCGAAACGCGAACCCCGCTCCGATGGCGTCGGGATACCCTTCTGCTGATATGGAAGAGGAAGACGCGTTGCCAACCGGAGTCTTCACGCTCTTGACGGACTGCTACAGCCCGACTTGTACACGTGATCGACTTTGTTATTCTATCGCTTGCCCGAGGCGCTTGGAGCAGCAAGCGCGACTGAATATGAAGCCGCAAGCTGTGCTCAAGCGAAGTCTTAGCAAAGAGTCGCTTGGAGAGACGAAGGTGAGTGTTGTGTACTCGATTCAGAGCCATCATTGGCAGTTGCTGACTGGTCGTGATCGTGCTCGACCGCAGGAGCAAGGGGCGCTGTGGGCGGAATCGGTATCAAAGGAGATTTTGGAAAGTGTCTCGGAGAAGGAACGCAAGCGTCAAGAGCTCATCAATGAAGTCATATACACCGAACGCGACTTTGTGCGGGATCTGGAATATCTTCGAGACTTTTGGATCAAGCCTTTGCGAACCCGAGACATCATTGCTGATGCACGGCGGGACGACTTTGTCACGCAGGTGTTTTGGAATGTGCTGGAAATACACGCCGTCAATTCCAAGCTGGCAGATATGCTCGGGAAGCGTCAGAAACAACAAGCGGTGGTGGAACGGATAGGCGACCTTCTTCTGGAGATGGTGCCATACTTCCAGCCCTTCGTCAAGTACGGTGCACACCAATTGTACGGCAAGTACGAATTTGAGAAGGAGAAGGCGAGCAATCCTGCATTCCTCAAATTTGTTGAAGAGACAGAGCGGTTGCCAGAGTCGCGGAAGCTAGAGCTGAATGGTTACCTGACCAAGCCCACCACTCGTCTGGCCCGTTATCCCTTGTTGCTTGAAGGTGTGGCCAAGGCGACGGAGGACGACAGCCCAGATAAGCAGGCTCTGCCAAAGGTGATCAAGATTGTTAAGGAATTCTTGAGCAAGGTGAACACGGAATCCGGCAAGAGTGAAAATCGTTTCAACCTCGCCCAGCTGGATCAGCAGCTGGTCTTCAAGCAAGGAGAAGCTGTTGACCTGAGGCTCCGAGACGAACAGCGAGAGCTCGTATTCAAAGGACCTCTCAAGAGGAGAGGTGGTTCTCAGAGCGAGAGCGGCGACCTCCAAGTCTTCCTGTTCGATCACGCTCTGTTGATGGCGAAAGCGAAGAATGTGCACAAGCACGAGCTCTACAAA